TTAATGGTGATTTGGAAAGGATGTTGCAAAGAAGGCCATAGTGGTTCTCAACTTGTGGGTCCTCATGTGTTTTAGCCTACAACTCCCAGAAAACACAGCCAGTTTACCAACTGTTAGGATTTCTGGGAGTTGAAGACCAAAACATCTGGGGACCCACAGGTTGAAAACCACTGCCATGTTGTTCATTCAGTTGCTTCCAATTCTTAGTGACCTCATGAACCAGCCCATGCCTGAGCTTCCTGTCAGCCATTACCACCCCCAGCTCCTTCAAGGTCAAGATGGATGCCATCCATCCATCTTGCCCTTGGTCAGCCCCTCATCCTTTTTCCTTCCATTTTCCTCAGCATCATTGTCTTCTCTAAGCTTTCCCGTCTTCTCATTATGTGGCCAAAATACTTCGTCTTTGCCTCTAATATCCTTCCCTCCAGTGAGCAGTCGGGCTTTATTTCTTGAAGTATGGACTGGTTGGATCTTCTGGTGGTCCAAGGAACTCTCAGAACTTTCCTCCAACACCACAATTCAAAAGCATCTATCTTACTTCTCTCAGCCTTCCCTATGGTCCAACTCTCACATCCATAAGTGACTACAGGGAATACCATTACTTTTACTATGTGCATCTTCGTTGCCAGTGTGATGTCTCTACTCTTCACTATTTTATCGAGATTGGTCATTGCTCTCCTCCCAAGAAGTAAACATCTTCTGATTTCCTGGCTGCAGTCTCCGTCTGCAATAATCTTTGCACCTAGAAATGCAAAGTCTGTCACTGCCTCCATGTTTTCTCCCTCTATTTGCCAGTTATCAATCATTCTTGTTGCCATAATCTTGGTTTTTTTAATGTTTAGCTGTAACCCAGTTTTAGACATTCATAATTGGGCTTTTTTGATTGTACAAGATAAAACCTTTTCATTTTTGGTATATGTGAGAAGCGATACTATCTCAGCAGTCACCTTTTGGCTAGACACACTCACTTTGTATGGCTGGACACAATCATTTTTCATGACTCTAACAGCATGTTATTGGAATTCCAGTGAATCCACAGATCCAAGAGTAGTAGTAATTTTATTGATTAGCCCTTAGGCTGTATCACAATACCAAACTAAACAACAAGGCTTGATAAAGACTTGCAATTTATGTCACAGATCCAAGAGAATCCCTAGAAAGAAGAGAATGATGCCTGCATCTAGAAACATGCATAAAACAGGGAGGCTGTTAAATTTTCACACAAGAATTTGCCAAAGAGAAAAAAAGAGTTCCACTAGTTTTCTCCATATACATCCTATTTCTATAGTTTGTGCATTTTAACCTCTGTTAAAACAACCTTTGAAAAGGCTTCCAGTCCCATCCCCCTAAGAAGTATCTATTCACAGTTAATTTTTAAAGTATTTGTATTGAATTTTCTAGTAAGAAAGACCAAGCTTCCAAAACCATGGAACTACTGCATTTCTTCAATTCTAAGATGCACTTTTTCCTATATAAAATATCTAAAAATGAGGTGTGTCTTAGTCACAGGTGTATCTTAGGGTTTTTGTGGTGGTGGTGGTGGTGGTGATACAAAAAATCAGTGTGCATCTTGACATTGGTGACATCTTACAATTGAAGAAATACAGTTATTACATGCATTCATGGATTTTGACTCTTGTCTGATACCTATGAAAGAGGTATGAAATGTGACCATTATTTTCATTTTATGAAATGTTGATAAGAAAAAATGCATTAGAGGAAACCATTATCTGAAATCTCATTGGAGGTTCATTGCAGGGTGTTGAGAAAATGGATAAGCAGGCCTCTCTCCTACCTTCAATGTTCTGGTTCATATGTATTAGGATCTCATCTCATGCTTTCTGGGCTCCATTTCCGTGTGCTTTGGAAATGGAGTTCCACAGACATAAAGGCACTTCCAGTGGGACTCTGTGGAATTCTGTTTCCGAAGTGCATGGAAATGGAATCCAGAATACATTTTCAAATTGCAAAAAAAAAACAAAAACAAAAACAGGGAAAGGACGGGGAAAATATGTGGGATGATTGGCCAACTCAGAAGACGGACCTTGATGGGAGGCAATGAAGTAAGATGGTTCCCTCTGCATTTTCCTACTTTCCAACAACTCATGGGATGAGGTCCTTTGTAAGGTTCCTTTTCTCAGAACATGTGGTTGTTAGAGTTTACTGTTTGAGTGTATATTTAGCCATAATTCAGCTGCCAAATAGTACAAACCCTTCACAACATTATATGCACATGAATGAACAATTAACATCCTTTTGTAGAAAGCTTTGATAAACTTCAGTGAATCACTTAATGGACTGAGATTTTATTTGCATCACATTAAAACTTTAAAATACCTTGTGTGAGGGTCTCAAAATTGTCAACGGCTTATGACCATTGATTACTCATAGGCCAGGTGTAAAAAAAGAAAGAAAGGAAAGGAAAATATGATGTTGTACCAGAAACTACAACTAAATGGATGACAGAGCACGATTGTTCTCTGAATTTCTTCTTTATGGTTTCTTTATGGGCTATTTGCCCCAACCTATGGCACGGTTGCCCTATTTGTATGAGTTCACAGATAATAATAATAACAATCATCATCTTTATTTAAAGATTTAAATTAAATTAAATTAAAATTTAATTTAAAGATTTAAAGATCGAACTGCATAGACTCTGGCACAAGCCAGTAAAAGTGGTCCCAGTGGTGATCAGCACACTGGGTGCAGTGCGTAAAGACCTTGGCCTGCACTTAAACACAATTGGCGCTGACAAGACTACCATCTGCCAGCTGCAGAAGGTCACCTTACTGGGATCTGCACACATTATTAGCCGATACATCACACAGTCCTAGACACTTGGTAAGTGTCCGACGTGTGATCCAATTCAACAGCCAGCAGACTGTCTGCTGTGGACTCACCTTGTTGCATTTCAAATAATAATCTTTATTTATACCCCACCACCATCTCCCCAAAAGTGACTCGGAGCAGCTTACATGAGGCCAAGCCCAGCGATACATTACAGCAACATAAAATATAAAACAACAAAATAACATTGCAATAAAATAAATAAACCAATCAAATAAAATAAACAGTACAAAATAACATAATGAAAAATAAAACACAGTGGGCGGGCCAAATGCACGACATAAAATGATAAAACTCTGGATGAGATATCAATGAAAAGGTACATTTGTGGGGGAGGAGCTTGAGGAATTAGACTTTCAATAAGGTAGGGAAAAGTGCATTAAGAAGGATACAATGTAGGTGAAACAACAAGACTGGAATATATGGTCACTCTCCAAAGGCATGTTGGAAAAGCCGGGAGGCCACAGTGGAGAAGGCTCTCTCCCTCGTTCCCACAAGTTGTGCCTCATTCCCACAAGTTGTTCCCACAAGATGACCACTCAATGAACTACTGTAGCAAGTTTGTAACCTGTTCTTCCCTGTCCCTGTTCTGTTGACTATTTTCCATGGCAGGGAACAGGGAAAGTGAAACAGATGACATGATTGTAAAGAGAGAGAGCAAACTAGAAAACTGGAATCGGAGTTGAACCTCGCTCTGATCTCCTATGGCCCCCAGTTTAGTTTCAAAAGTCATCTGCAAATGTTGGGTTTAGCATCTTGCAAGGAAAAAGGAAAAGAAAATTTGACTATTGATTTTGGCTCTATCCACAACTGCCTGTTATCCCACCCTATCAACATGCGATCCCATCATTTTATTCTTGAAAGGATGCTGCCCCTAACAGAAAAGAGGTTGCCTTTCCTATTTTATAGTATTTGTCTATTAGCAAAGAGAGAAAAGTAGATGAGAGATGGGGCCATAATGTCTAGTTCTAAGCAATAAGTAACTGTTGGATCATGAAAAAAATCAGTAGCAACTGCTTCTTTCTATGATATGAATGATAACGGATGTATTTAACTGTTGTTTATTATTTACATTACAAACATTATTTGCTTACTTTTTCGTGAGTTTGCATCACGTGTTTTTGTTTTTCTTGTTGGCGATGTATTAGGCACTCTTCACGAGGTGGTGCCTAATAACCATTTCTCATGATTGTAAAAGTTTTCAAAAAGTGTTGCAGCTTTCTTTTCTTATGTTTGCCCAACCATCATCTGACATCCAACAAGCACTGGGAAATTTCAATGACACAGCTTGGAATGGGTTCAGTGACCTCAATTATGCCCTCCCCACCCACTCCAAACTCCTTTCAATTTGCAAAAAAAGCTTTAAGTGGACAAAACCCAGATGCCTTTTTCTTGTAGTTCAGTAAGAACAGATTGGGCATGTAGATTTCTGTCAAAGTGATGTATGCAGTTCATTTTCTGTTCACTCTTTCTGTGATTGAAACTATTTGAAATGTTCCTTTTGAAGTACAGCATTGGGCTTTGCTTTTCTGTGGTTGTTTTTTTTTTAATACAAACATCAAGAAGAATACCCCTTCTTCCTCCTCCAAAACATAAGTATTAAAAAGTAGTCACAGAGAATGGCTGATATGCTCGTCAAACATTACTTGGAAGTGAGCTGTAATTCAACCCCAGGGCCATACTGTTTTTACTCATTTCTGCTTTGAAAGTTAATTTGTTAATAACAGCCATGCTTTTTTCAAAACCTGCATGTAAATATTCCTTCTGGACTACAGTAATACGATATTGATTAAAATGATAAATACTCTCTGATAGTTGCGCTTTTCCAATCAAAATGTGTTTACATGGGAATAAAATTAATTAATTTCAGCGAAACTCTTCAGTGTGATAGTTATTTGGTACTCACTTCATTGTGAGTAAGGCACATTTGATGAAAAAAAATCCAGGTCATTGTAAATAAAATTAGGACACTATGTGCTTTGGGGATGAACATTAAGGAAGTCTTAAAGCCTTGGCAACAAATATATGCATGCTTAGGGGTAGATTGCTTACATGGCATTGAAACATTATGCAGGACACTTAGAGGACTACAATGTGTTGTGTTATTCTCTCTGTCTCCTCTTTTTCCCCTGTTCCTCTCTTTCGCTTCTCAGAAACATGTGCTGTCAATAATGGAGGCTGTGACCGTACTTGCAAGGATACAGCAACAGGAGTACGCTGCAGTTGCCCCGTTGGATTTACCCTGCAGCCTGATGGGAAAACATGCAAAGGTCAGCTTCTGTTTGTTTTGCAATGCATCTTTCCTCTTAGTAGTCTCAGCATCAGAGTTAAAATGTGAATATAGCCCACACTGGGTTTCAGTCTCTTAGCAGTGCAATAGTCATCAGACATGCCCCAACTCCGGCAGTCTTTAGGAGGAGCTTGAAAACGTGGTTGTTCCAGTGTGCCTTCCCAGAATAAGGAAAACTCACAGCATTATGTCCTCAAAATGCACTTTACTACTGCTTTACGATTGACTGCATTCCCTCATTCTCTCTAAAAATCCTATCCCAATTATATCCTACCTGGCTCACATCAGCACTATTTTTTAATTTTAATCTATCACATTTGGCCCGGCCTTTGGTTTTAAATGTTTATATGTTACTGTTGATTGCTTGTCTTCCAGCACGCTGACATTTGTCCACTTGCCTTCCCAAGAGATTTGCAGGATTGCTGATGGAATGATTCCAGGAGTTGCATATGACATCTGTAGACAGTTCAAGTCTCGCAGGCGTATAGCAGGGTTGGGAGGATAATAGCTTTATAAACAAGCACCTTGGTATCCCTACGGATGTCCTGGTCCTCAAACACTCTGTGCTTCATTTGGAAAAATGCTGCCCTCGCAGAGCTTAGGCGGTGTTGAATTTCAGTGTCAAGGTGCTGCCAAGGTAGCGGAAATGGTCAACATTTTCTAATGTGACACCATTAAGCTGTATCTCTGGCATTGGAAAGGAACTGGCCAGTGACTGCTGGAAGAGCACCTTGGTTTTCTCGATGTTTAATGACAGGCCGAGCTTCTCGTATGCTTCTGCGAAGGTGTTTAGAGTGGCTTGTAGTTCTTCTCCTCAATGCGCACAGATGACGTTGTCATCAGCATACTGGAGTTCTATAGCAGATGTTGTTGTAGCCTTAGTTTTGGCTTTCAGTCTGCTGAGGTTGAATAGATGGTTGCCACTCCGGTGGGAAGCTTCCCATCAACAAGGTGAAGTATCATAGCAATGAAGATGGGGAATAAAGTTGGGGCAATAACACATCCCTGTTTTACACCTGATTCCACCTTAAATGGGTCACTTTGGGAGCCATTGCTGTCCAAGACTGTTGCCATCATGTCATCATGGAGGAGCCACAGGATGTTCACAAATTAGTTAGGGCACCCGATTTTTTGGTTACCACTAAGAACAAGAGGGAAAAGATAAGGGTTTTTGACCCAGTGGCACCATCTTGGATTTTGCACCAATAGGTCATTCAGCAACTGGGCCAGAGTTCCCCATTCCAGATCAACATTGACGTATATGGTATATATAGATGGATCCTAAAGCTAACTGCAGTGAGAATAGATTGTAATTTGATTCAATGAAATTGTAAGGAAGGTGGGGACCTGATGTTGTTTTAATCTTAACATAATAGCAGACGTTTAAAAGGATATTTTTGAACTATGCCTTTTGTAATTCTCCAGCCAGAACATCTATTAGCTATCCTGGTTTGGGGATTCTGGGAGGTATAATTTAATGAAAGTAACTTTTCCCATTTCTGTATAGTTGGTAACAATGCTTTTAGGATCACATGGAGTATGTCTCTAAGCTGTTTTTGTCTGAGTTTAATTGAAGACCAAAACTACAACAAAGAATTATTTCTTCATTTGTTTTTCTTAAAGATCAACATGATGTTTTTTTCACTGTGTAATTGCAGAAAAGCTAGCTATGAAATGCCACTTGCTGAAAATGATCACCCGTCTTAAGGCTGTTTAACATGCTTTTTAACTTTTTGGAGATGGGTTGTTGTAGGTTTTTCCGGGCTATATGGCCATGTTCTGGGGGCAATTTTTCTCCTGATGTTTCGCCTGCATCTATGGCAAGCATCCTCAGAGGTAGTGAGGTCTGTTGGAAGTAGGAAAAATGGGTTTATATATCTGTGGAATGACCAGAGTGAGACAAAGGACTTTTTTCTGCTGGGGCTAGGTGTTTCAGCTGATCACCTTGATTAGCATTCAATGGCTTGGAAGTGCCTGGGGGGAATATTTTGTTGAGAGTGATTTTATGTGCCTCTTTGTTTCCCCTCTGTTGTTTCGCTGTTGTAATTTTTGAGTTTTTTAATACTGGTAGCCAGATTTTGTTCATTTTCATGGTTTCTTCCTTTCTGTTGAAATTGTCCACGTGCTTGTGTATTTCAAAGACTTCTCTGTGTAGTCTGACATGGTGGTTGTGAGAGTGGTCCAGCACTTCTGTGTTCTCAAATAATATGGTGTATCCAGGTTGGTTCATCAAGTGCTCCGCTATGGCTGATTTCTCTGGTTGGAGTCGTTTGCAGTGCCTTTCATGTTCCTTGATGTGTGCCTGGGCGCTGCGTTTGGTGGTCCCTATGTAGACTTGTCCACAGCTGCATGGTACACGGTAGACTCCTGCAGAGGTGAGAGGATCCCTCTTGTCCTTTGCTGAACGTAGCATTTGTTGGATTTTCTTGGTGGGTCTGTAAGTGGTTTGTATGTTGTGTTTCCTCATCAGTTTCCCTATGCAGTCAGTGGTTCCCTTGATGTATAAGAACACTTTTCATCTGGGTGGATCTTCATCTTTACTCTCGTGGCTTGTTCTTGGTCTTGCAGCTCTTCTGATATTTTTGGAGGTGATTAACATTGTCAAGTGAATAGACAAGGAAAAGCATAGTATGATGCTTGAAGATCCTTCCAGTTTGTAACAGAGAAAAGAAGGGAAACATTCTTACCTTCTGACTTTTTATTGCTTGAATAATATCCCTTTGAAAAGACTTATTGCCATTGAGTATTCACTATTTTTTAAAAAAACTGCAAAGGAAAATAACCTGCAAAGTTGGTGTTTTGTATAAAAACTGCTATGCGATTTACTCAGTAAGTAAATGCTGTTGCTTAAGAAGCAAAGATGCAAGCCTAAAGAAATAGGGGAATGATACGGGTTCTTTTTAAGTACTGCTCTGTGTCTTAAATGCTGACAACTTGCAAGCAAATAGGAATTTAATTATGTTTCTTAATGTACCAATAACTTTTATTGGGATAGAATCCCTTATTCTTCTAGGTCTTAAAAATAATTTGTGTCTTAGAGAAAAGCATCTGGAGTCTGTTATTTTCTGTAACTGCTTTATATTGTTCTCAAACTATTACTCTGCCTATCAACAAGCAACATGAGTGTATATTTTGTAATGACCAATTCCTATTTCAATGCAACTTGTAAATAATATATATGCTTTGTAATTCTTAACAAAAACACTGAATGGCATATCAGTCTTATTGGAACAGCACCATTTTATTCTGCTTTGTTGAAACCACACCTGGAATACTGGGAAGCTGTATTGGGAAGATCTGCATAGTAAAAGCAATGGTATTCCCCGTAGTCACCTACAGATGTGAGAGCTGGACCATAGGGAAGGCTGAGCGAAGGAAGATAGATGCTTTTGAACTGTGGTGCTGGAGGAAAGTTCTGAGAGTGCCTTTGACCACCAGAAGATCCAACCAGTCCATACTTAAGAAATAAAGCCCAACTGCTCATTGGAGAGAAGGATAGTAGAGGCAAAGATGAAGTACTTTGGCCACATCTTGAGAAGAAAGAAAAGCTTAGAGAAGACAATGATGGTGGGGAAAATAGAAGGAAAAAGGAAGAGCGGGTGACCAAGGG